AGTTAATCAATAAGATTACTGGGTTGATCATCAGCCTGAAAAGGAGAAAGCACTTTTTTCACTTGTTCCTCTGTTAGGTGGGATCATTTAGCTTCACTTGTCTGTTGTCTTTTCATCTACAGCTGAATTATATTGACCATTTTGTGTACATTTTAAAACCTTTCAAGTTTCAGGATATTATACTTTGAAACACACTTGTTGAATTATTATTAAAGTTTTTTTCATGTCTTAGAGAAGATTCTGATAAAATCCAAGCCAACTACCAACGTTGAAGGTCCATCATGTAAAACAGTTGGTCTAATAATTATTTCCAAAGCTGTACGTTGGAGATGTTTGATTTATTTTAATTTCTCTTTCTTCACGTGGAGGACACATAACTGAATGTGGCCTTTAGATCAGTTTAGTTCCTGAATAAAAAGGAGAAGTTTCCCAACTTTCATTGCAGATTTCCCTTCCTGTTTTTCCCTTTACAAGGGAAGTGGAGCTGTGCAGAGGAATCCCTCCTCCTATGTCGACACCCCTTCACAGTCTTACATGTGAACACAATCCTCTGCTGACTGTTGAAGTTCCTGCTCTGCTGCTGACGCACTGCAGGTAAGACAAACTGAATTGCTTAGTTTGCTTATTTTTGAGTGAGAGTTTGTATTTTAGTGTAACTGTTGGTGTGCAGAGTTGCCTGCATGTGTGTGTGTTGTGCAGCTGTCAGTGGACAAACTTCTGTCTACAGAATAGTTGAGGTTGTTGTTTGCACTGTGACATTTATTCAAATCAGGACTCCTGCATTCTGCTGCTTTCAGATGGATTCTGGTTTATTTTGTACATTAATGCAGTAAAAATCAGGCATTTACTGTGATTTGTTGCTGAGTCGCTCTGACTTACTGACACAAACATAAAAGAGACGAGAGCAGATCAGGACAAGACACAGTATGAAGGTAAAGCCCAGCAGTGAAATCGAAACTAGAACCAAATCAGGCTGCAGGAGTTTAAAGCAACACGCAGCTTCAATCTATTTATGTTGTGCATTAAAAACAGCTGTTCCTTAGGTTTTATACACATATTTGCCTTTATATTGACATATTCTATTGGAACAGAAGGTTTTATGACATGTTGATACAGATTAATAATAATATTAATAATAATAATCACACTAATGATAAGGTAGACTACTATTTTAAAGGATTCTTTCTTCCTCTTATTTTAAAATGATGAAGAAAAAAAAAAACCTAGAGCTTAATTTAATAAATTAAAGATGAGTTGAAAAAAAGAGCTGAACTGTTTTTTGCCACTGTCATCTGAGAAATTAAGCAGGAATAAAATGTGTGTAATATTCTTATTAAATGTTTGTCAGGCTGATGTTGTGTTCTGGACTTTTTATAGTTTAAAGCTGGACGTCAGTTTGGCCGAAGCGTCATTAGATGGCAGCAGTGTTTCATAGTTCATTCTGAGCTCTGAGCTTCTGCAGGAAGTTGTGACTTTATGCAGCAAATGATGATCAAAACTCAAAAATAAATGAAACAAAGACTGAGTATATTTTTCACTGCAGCTAATTTTGTCGTCATCAGAAGTTCAGAGGGATTAATAAAGAAATGAAAGTGTTTTTACGCCTGATTTGTTCAGTTTGAATGAACTCAGGTGTGTTTTGGTGATTTTTGGAAACAAAACAATGTAAGCAAAGACAGAAATGTGCTTTTAGTTTAGATTCCATCTGCTGATGGTGAAATCTGTCCATCTGGATAAACAAGGTTGAGTTAAAATTCTCACCATGTGACCTTCATCAGAGATAGAATAGAATAGAATAGAACTTGATTGATGCCTTTGGTGGATAAAGTTAAATAAATAGATAAAAACAAAGCTGAGCTCAGTCTGGGTCCAGTTCTGAGATCAGGATCTTGTGGTTAAAGCTGCTAACAAGTGACACAATCTGAACACAAGACACAGAAAATAAAAACCAGAGATTGTTCCTCTTGTTGGATGAGTTCTACTTTAGAAAACTTTCTTAGTGAAGTTCAACAGTTAAAAGGAAATTAATCAAAATCCCACAAAATGTCTTTTTTTTCCCTCCCATTTCTGTTCTTTTGTCACCATTTCTGATATTCAGTCTTCATTTACAGTCTCCACACTGTAAAAGGTCATACCTAGGCTTACTTGAATCACATTTGTGTACTTTACATATTTCTCATTGTCCTGTTCGTTTCACTCATGGACTGTGAGCATGTCCTCATTTTTCCTTAAAGAGTTATAAAACTAAGTACACTTGAGTAAACTGGACTTGAAACGTTCTGTTCCTGGACTGAACACAGAGCTCAGCAGTGCACATGTGCAGTAGAGAAGTGCAGGAGAAGTTTCCTGAAACTTTTCGGGGCGGCTGTGGTTCAGGTGGTAGTCGGTCAATGATTGGAAGGTCGGCAGTTTGATTCCGCCCTGGAATCTGAGTCATGGTCGTTGTGTCCTTGGGCCAGAAAGCTCACCCACCTTGCCTGGTGTGAATAGCTTACCACTCCCAGAATGAATGTGTGCTATATAAATTGGATCAGTTATTATTATTATTGTTATTATTTAAGTTTCTAACACAACTTTACATGCACTGCACTCTAACACAAAGATCAAGTTCATTATACTTGCTATTTTTAAGTTCACAAAATTAAGTGAATACAGCTAAATTTTAGGTAAACTTTACAAGAAGATATGAAGTAAACAGAATTTAAGACTAATGGTTTCATTTACTGACCTTTTTTGAGTGCAACCGGTTTCCTAGATTTGTTTAAGATCAACTTTTCACATTTTACAGTGCACAGACAGTTCTTAGGACTGTTTATTCGGACCTGAGCTCTGACTGACTCCAGACACATCACAGAAACACATCAGTTTAACGTCTTCTCTATGACTTCATGCTTACAGGTGTTTGTAAAATCAGAACGGACTTTGCTGATCTGCTCTGAACTGCACTGAAAAAAAATTAGTTGGATTTACTTAAAACAGTTATGTCAACTTTTTCCATGAAACTGAGTCATGTTGGAACTAGTTTAACAGTATTATTAACACGGCAATAACCAACTTATGTGCAACTTAGAAGACAGCATTAAGTAATTTCAACATTAACTGTTCAAGTCGTACTTAATTAATAGGTCATTGTCCAACTAATGAAACTGACAAACTTTAATTCAACATAATGTTGTTTCTTTTGCCTTCATTTAAAGTGTTGATTAATAACAACATCAATATATTTCATTACAGTGACTTAACTCACTTACATAGATGTAGCTTAACTGTGAGACCTCTGTTACTCAGCTGTATTTAGTAAGACCAACTGAACCACAGCTTGTAGTTCCAACTTAACTGACTTTGATAAGTGTCATTTTGTTTTACTTGATTGGGTTCCATTGTTTAAATGATAGTCGTTTCAAGTCGATTTAATCTACCCATGTCAACTTTTCCCACAGAATGCAGTAAAGTCAAAATACAAGCACAACACTCTTGTTCAGTGAAAAAACACATTTATTGCCAATGACAGTTAAAAAGAAGTCATAACAAACCAGTCATCTGCCTGAGTTCAAAATAATAAGATCCCTTGGTTGGATCTTGAATATTTCTGAACATAACATGTGAGGTGTTCAGCAACATGTAACACTTTAACATGTTAGATGTTATGTTTCTGAACATCTTGCATATTTCTCAATATCTTGGATATTTCTGATGCGTTTCTTTCTGCCAGATGTCTCCAGATGAAACCTCTCCAGATTCTCCTCTGCTGCCTCAGAGCAGGGCACAACAATGTCTTTAATGTTCACTTGCAAGCTCTATATTGTTCCTTTTAGTTTATTTCTCAACACTTGTGCCTTTGATGAGAGGTTGTTGCAGTCTAGTTCCACAAAGAGTTTTTGCAGAACCTCAAACTTGTACTTCAAATTTGAGGGGTAGCTCAAGTCCAGTGAGTACATGAGTCCAAATAAAATGGTGAGTGCATTAGGTACATTACCTAGGTTGTGAAGCACTTCCACATTTTTAATAATAAGTCCTACATCTTCAGGGTCATTGGTGCACTCTGCACCGTCCTTCCCTGATGATAACCTCTGACTTCAAGTCATTTTACTGTATACAAGGATGGGACATCCAGTTTTTGACTTATGCAGAACAGAAGGTGCAAAACATACAGGATAAGTCCCAGCAATAACATGTAGATCATGAAAAGAAGGGGACCCAAACTGGACCTCTGGGGCACACCACACAAAGAGCAGGCATGTTCAAATTTGACCAATAATACCTATGAGATAGGAGATGACACT